ATAGCTGGCCGAGTACAAAATGATGAGCCTGTGCCCTCCCATGCTCTCTGGCAGCATGGGCATGACCATCCTGGTGAGCTGCCGAGGTAACAGCCCGATCCGTTCACTGGCCTCCCACAGACAACCAAGGACACCTAGTGCAGCATCGCTGATATGCTGAAAGTGAGAAGGATGAAATCCGCCCAGGCTACTCGAAGTCCTCGTGGGAAAGGAACGCGATGCCCGACGGATCTGGCACGGGGCAGCCCGAACCAAAGCTGAACGGTCAGGCACCCATGCCTCAGGCGCTGTAGTGGACGCCTTCCATAACTTCGCGTACTTGTCCTCCATGTCCTCGACGATGCGCTGGGGGTGCGCTGAGAACACGCTGTGCCTGTCGGTGACGACCGTGGGAGCCTGTACGTGCTTGTAAGCCGTGACTCGGTGTAGCCTGCCTGCTCCGTTCTGGCTGGCACCTTCGCACCACGCCTTCCAACTGGCAGCACTATCACGATCAGCGGCCTGCTTTGCAAGGTGTACGTCCTCCTCAGCTTCTTCCAGCCGCCAGTTGATGTCCGAAGCCGAGGTTGCCGCCGACGGTAACAGTCGTCGGGCTTGCACCACCGTAGCGTCTAGGCGATGATCAGCACCTTGACCAGGGTATTGCGTAGTATTGAAGCCGTGTACCTCGTCGCTCGCCTTCTCCTTGTCACCAGCAACGTTGGAGGCCTTTAGCATCGCAGTGCTCTGCAGTCCGTCTTGAAGCCATTTCCAGCCATCAGCAATACTCTGAACGCCTCCGGCATCTTTACCTTCATAAGTGTATTCCACCCGCTTCGGACGGACGGTATGGGCGTAGCTACTGGCCTGCTTGATATCGGCACCAGTGAGGTGACACAGACGCTCGCCCATCTTGGTCGCAAATTTGGCCCAGGCCTGCCCGAGAAAATGCCATGCCGCACCAACTTCTCCATTCAAAGAAATTTCCACAGCTGCCTCTGCACAGCATCGCTCAGCATCCCTTTCAGGCTCAGGAAGCATAGGCCCTTGAACGATGGCCGCGTCGAGTTTCGAGCCGCCCGTGTACGTCAGGCACTGCAGCTTGTGCCCGATTGTGGTCATCTCCACTAGGACAGGCCGATGAGGTTTTATCGGCCATTTCCGATCCACCCGAATCTCCTTGAGCAGCCGCACTGCCGCTGACGACATCGCGAAAAAAGTCAATGGCGGCGCTGGCCCTCGCAGTGCGGCCTGTTATATCTGATGGCTGGAATCGCAACATTCGCATGCTTCGTGAATGTGGACTTTTCAACCTCAAGCGCGGACACGTTCCAATCACCTCCAATGATACAAGGGGGTAGCTGACCCGCCATGGCCAAGCCTATATTCATCAGAATCTTGGCATTCTTCTCTGACATACATTCCGCAGTATGCAAATACACATTGAAAAGGTTGAATGACGGCCACCCAGGAACGTCAATCACAACATGCTGAGCTCGATGGGGAACCAGCTCGGACCCAAAAGCAATGCTGCTCTGGGCCTGGCTCTGCATCCCCTTCAGGTGGCCCTCGGGATAGACAGGTCCGCGCAGACCAACGCCAATCCGTGCGAAAACAGCAACTCCAGCAGAGGCCAGTTTCCCCCCGCTCTTTTCCCCGGGAACGATGATAGCTTGCCAACCATTCCCTTGTGACCAAGTACTCAACGCTTCGCACTCCCAGTCGAGATAGCCAATCTCCTGAGCCATGACGATGAGAGAAGATGTGGCCTGCAGTCGCTTCTTTAACGCCGACTTGCCCGCATTGGCGTTGAAGATCTCTACGACATGCGACCCCGCAGCTTCAGCTGGAGGAGAGGGGGCCACGGTCTGGGACTGAGATATCCGCAGCCCTGATACTCGAGTCACTCTGGTAGTACTGCCCACCCAGTCCCCCAGTCCTGGCTGCGCCAACACCTGCGAGTTTCCAGTGTTTGGTATTCTGGACGTTCTGCACCATCTCCATGAACTGATCTTTGGTAACGGAGATCTCGCCAGACTCGGCATTGCGCATGTTGGCCCAGAGCGACTCAATATCCGTCTTCTCGAACAGGGAATCTGTGGGCCGCTTGCTTCGGTCAGGGGGGTCTGCGTTACAGGGTCCACCAGGTGCGCCTTGGCAGCTCCCGTTGGCGTTGCCGCTGCCGTCAGGAAAGACGCCATCAGCAGAAGAAACAGCATCAGCTTGCTCGAACTTGGTCTGCGCTTTCTTCCGCAGCATGGACTGCACCTTCGCCCAGCGAGGGTTTGCCACGAGCTGGTCAACGGACCCGCGCATGGCAACTGCATCGACATCCTCACCCTGGAACGCGACATCCTCAGCGTCGAAAGTGGATAGGTCCTCGGGCAGCTGGGGCGCGAAGACTTCCTTGGCACCAGGCAACTTCGACGCATGCTGGGCCACCTGCTGCTCGAGCGCCACAGTCTCAGCCTCCTTGGCCTCAGCCACAGCCTTCTTGGCGTTGGTGTCGCTCTGCATCTGCAAGAGCTTCTTCTCTAAATCCTCAATCTCCTTCTTGCCCTTGGTGATATGGCCGCGCGCGCGCCCCAGCTTCTGCAGCGCCTGCTTGTGAGCTGTCCCAGGCGACGTGAGCTGCTTGACCTGCTCGCGGAGCTTCTCCAACTCCGCCCTGGCGAGCTTGGCCATCTTGCCTTCCTCCTGGCCGAGAGAGCTGAAGTCCTTGAACCTGCGCTCGTGGATGTTGATCTCCTCCTGGAAAGCAGTGCGCTTGGTAAAGTTATCGTCCTTCGAGGGCTCAGCGGCACCGACGATGTCCATGTCGTAATCAGCAGGAGCCTGAGATACGTTGGCCTTGCGGGCGGTAGCCAGCAACGCCCTCGTCTCCTTGAGATCTTGCTCCGTCTTCTTGAGATCCTTGTTCCACGGTGCCACCTTGGGATTCTGCAGTCCAGCTCCTCCAGCACGCTGTGCTGGCGACTTGGCTGCAGCAGCTGCCTCCTTGTCCGCCCTCCACGCCTTGACCTGCACGTGCTGCGGCGCATGCTTGCCACACTGGCAGACGATCCTCGACGCCCAGTTCGTGCTGTACCCGCACGATGGGCAACCCCAGTGCGGCTTCTTCGGGCCGCGGAGGATCCTTGGCTGCGGTGAAGGGGGCGGCGCCATCCTGCCAGGTGGCGATCCGTGGTGTCCTCGTAACCGTCGGGCGGCGCCCTCCAGCTGCGCGAGCAAGCGGGGCGAGCTGCGCCCCGCCCAGGCGTGCAGGAGGGCGCGATCCGCCGCACGGCGAAGTCGCGCTCGATGATGGGCGGCGTCCTCACGGGGAGACGCCGTGGCCGAGCGCTGGTCTCGGCGCGCGCGGGGGGGGGGGTGGGGGGCCTCGCCTGCGCTGGCAGGCTCCCACAGGGGCGGCACCTCGCGAGCCGAAACTTGAGCCAAAATGGCTACGGGGGAGGAGGAGGAGGAGGAGGAGGAGGAGGAGGAGGAGGATCGGGTCGGACGAAAGGGTGGTCTAGTGAAGGGGCGTTGGCGACGGAGGCGCAAATGCATCGAGGACAACACCAGCGTCGGGGCCGCAATGTGAAGAGGGGAACGGTGGACCGCCAGTCGACCATGGGGATGGCGGGGGGAGGTAAGGAATGAGAGAAGGAAGATGAGGAAGATGAGGGTGAGGGTGAGAACGAAGATGATGGATATGATGATGATGAGGATGATGATGATGCTGATTATGCTGATGATGATGACGATGATGACGATGTTGATGATGGTGATGACGATGACGAGAATACTAATTATAATAGTGATGATGATGATGATGATGATGTTCATGGTGATGGCGACGACACTGAGGATAATGATGATGGTGATGGCGTTGATGATGGCATATCAACTGACTACAATGGTGTTGATGATGATGGTGAGGAAGACAAACATGATGACGACGATGCTGATGATGCTGCTGCTGATGATGATCATGGCTATGCTGATGATTATGATTATGAGCGTTATGATGACGATGATGACAAGGATGACTACGATGCTACTGCTGCTGATGATGAGGATGATGATAATGACGATAATGATGACGATGCCGATGACGTCGACGATGCCGATGAGTGGTGGTGGTAGTCGTAGTCGTAGTCGCAGCCGTAGTAGTGGTAGCAGTAGTAGTAGTAGTAGTAGTAGTAGTAGTAGTAGTAGTAGCAGTAGTAGTAGTAGTAGTAGTAGTGGTAGTGGTAGCAGTAGTAGTAGTAGTAGTAGTAGTAGCAGTAGTAGTAGTAGTAATAGTAGTAGTAGTAGTAGTAGTAATAGTAATAGTAGTAGTAATTATTAGTAGTTATTAGTAGTTAGTAGATAGTAATTAAAAGTTAGTAATTACTAGTTAGTAGTTACTAGTTAGTAGTTAGTAATAGTAGTAGTAGTGGTGGTAGTAGTAGTGGTGGTAGTAGTAGGAATAGTAGTAATAGTAGTAGTAGCAGCAGCAGCAGCAATGGTAGCAGTAGTAGTAGTAGTAGTAGTAGTAGCAGTAGTAACAGTAGTAGTGGTAGTGGTAGTAGTAGTCATAATAATAGTGGTAGCAGTAGTAGTAGTAGTAGTAGTAGTAGTAGTAGTAGTAGTAGTAGTAGTAGTAGTGGTAGTAGTAGTAGTAGTAGTCGTAGTAGTAGTAGTAGTAGTAGTAGTAGTAGTAGTAGTAGTAGCAGTAGTAGTAGTAGTAGCAGTAGTAGTAGTAGTCGTCGTCGTCGTCGTCGTCGTCGTCGTCGTCGTACGAGGAGGAGGAGGGCGAGGAGGAGGAGGAGGAGGGGGAGGGAGCAGGAGGATGGAGGGGCACGAGGATGGAGGGAGGAGGAGGAGGAAGAGGAGGAGGAGGGGGAGGGAGCAGGAGGATGGAGGGGCACGAGGATAGAAGGAGGAGGAGGAGGAGGAAAAGGAGGAGGAGAAGGAGGAGGAGGGGTTAGGAGAAAGAGGAAGAAGTCCTGAATCTATCGGCGCCGGGTCCGGACTGAGGCTGCTCAGCGAGCGGCGACCAAGCGTGCACCCCTCTTCGGCGCGCGCGGGCCCCGCGCCGAGGGATGTAAAAAGAGCTGGTCTGGAGGCCCACGGAGGAGGAGAAGGAGGAGAAGGAAGAGACGAAGGAATCCCGAACCTCGACCTGCAGGGGCGGAAAATGAAATCATGGTCGACTTTGGACGCGGCGGGGGCGATGAGAGAAAAACTGCGCTCCAGAAATCCAATGGAATTTGGTCCGAGCCTTCACCGATTCCGACACGATCGAGAATGGGCACAGAGGGGGGAAGGAGCGATGAAGGCCATGAGGCGGACGAGACCGGGAGGGAGGGGGCGGAGGAGAATGAGAGGTATGGAGGGGGGAGGGAAGGAACCGGACACGGAAAATGATGGGGCGGAGGCTGGGACAGCGGCGGGAAAACAAGAAAAGCTGTGCGCAGAACAGGATGAGGGGGAAAAGACGAGGAAGCAGAGAGGACGAGGAGGAGAAGGAGCGAATTCGTCAGCGCGCGGGGGCAACGCCGGCCGCAGTGTCAGACCGCACCTGCTGCGAGGCAGGGCCTGGCGGGCGTGAGGGGGAGGGGGCAGGAAAGGGAGGAAGTCCTCTACCACCACCGCCACCCTCCTCCTCCTCCTCCTCCTCCTCCTCCTCCTCCTCCTCCTCCTCCTTCCTCAACCCTGCTTCTCCTTCTCCTCCTCCTCCTTCTTCCTTTCTCCCCTCTCCTCTCCTCCTCTGTCCCTTCTCATCCTCCCCCTCCTCCTCCTCCTCCTCCTCCTCCTCCTCCTCACCACCATCATCACCACCAGCACCATCACCATCACCATCACCATCACCATCACCATCACCATCACCATCACCATCACCATCACCATCACCATCACCATCACCATCACCATCACCATCATCGTCGTCAGCGTCGTCATCGTCGTCATCGTCGTCATCGTCGTCATCGTCATCATCATCATCATCATCATCATCATCATCATCATCATCATCACCATTCTTACAACTCTACCTCCTTCTCCTCCTCCTCCTCGTCCTCCTCCTCCCTCCTTCCTTCTTTCTCCCTCCTCCACACCCCCTCCGCGCGCGGGAGGAGGGAGGGGGGGAGGGAAGAGGGAGGGGGAAAGGATAGATGGACCCACAGCGCAACCAGGCTCCGAGCAGGAGATTGCATTCTCCATATCATGCGTTTCCGCCAGTATGTAACCGCTCACACCGCCAGTCTGTACTGCTCACGTACATGCATGTACTATACTCATGTGTACACGCAACCGGTTTGTTAATATAACTCAACATGTCAACACACAATTCACATGTGTATCCATATACACGTGTTAATGTACCTCATGTCGTTTTAAATGCGTACGTATCCAGGCGGGACGTTTGTTCACTTCTGATGCAACAGCGAATACGAACCAACGGGTCCAATGGGATCCTTGTTGGCGTGTGCGAGCGAATCTCGTGGATCCTAGTACTGTGCTCCTCGGTGCCAACTTCCAGAGCGAAAAAAAGTTGATTCATTTATTTTCCAGGAATATAGTTTTTTCCAGGGATGAGAAAAATCTCATACTTATTCGACATGAATATACCCATGTATGCATTTCATAATTGGCCCTGTCACGTTTCGCTGAGGAACTCTGCTTATGAGCATCTGGGTGTGATAACGACTCTGCGTAAACGACAGGCGCGGCGATGACGACGACGACATCCATAACTTCAGTGACAGTTTCCTCCTCCTCCCGTGGACATATTCCAGAAGAGGCGAGGGAAGCACAAAGGGAACATCGAGGGGGAGTTCCTCTTGCCGTTCTCCCCGCGGCAACTCAGGCAAACGCTCATGGCGTTGCTACGCCCGCTCTCTGGCGTGCTACTCGCGGCGCCTGCTGGCATTTGGGGTGCCCAAGTGCCACGCTGGCTACATCGCGGTAGCACCTTGTGTGTGAGAGCCTCAGCGCGAGTGAATCGGAGCGTGGATGATCTGAGTGTGAGCGAGTCGGACTGAGTGGATCTGGGTGCGATCGATCCTGAGTGAGTGAGCCTGGGTATATACTCAGTGTGATTACGAAGATTACGAGTGGGCCTGCGTAATTATGAGTGAGTCTGGGTACGATCGAAATTAAGTGCGAGTGAATCAGAACGTGGGTGAGCCTAAGTTTGAGTGTGATGAAGACAAATCAGACCATGAGCGAGCCTGGGTGCGAGGTAGCCTGTATATGGGTGAGTATAAAGGCTGGTGAGTCTGAGTCTGAATCGGTTTGCGTGTTGGTGAATCTGAGTTTGGGGGAGTCTGAGTTTGAGCGAGTGCGTATGTGTGAGTTTGGGTAAGATCACATATGTGTATGAGCAAACGTCTGAATGTGATGCGTGAATCTGAGCGAGGAACAAGTGCTGAGGAGTTGGTCCGAATGCGAATGAGTGCGTCCGAATGCGGAAATGGGGAAGGAGGTGAGTGAGTGAGTGCGTAAAGAGCCAACAAAATCAGAAGAACAGGTTTGGGGGCCAGCAGCTTCTCCTCCTCCTCCTCCTCCTCCTCCTCCTCCTCCTCCTCCTCCTCCTCCTCCTCTCCCCAGGACCTCTGGGGGCGCGAGCGCGAGTCCTGAATTCCTGGCGGCTCCGTCTTGGGGTGCCCACGTGCCACGCCTGCTTGAGATCACCCGCGTGGAGCACTGGACTACAACCAAAATCTGGGGGGGAGCGAAGACAAGCAAATCCTCCTCCCTCCTACCTCCCTTCTCCTCCCTCCTCCCTCCTCGTCTTCCTCCTCCCTCCTCCTCCTCCTCCCTCCTCCTACTCCTCCTCCTCTCCTCCTCCTCTCCTCCTCCTCCTCCTCCTCCTCCTCCTCCTCATCCTCTTCCTAAACCGGCTGAGACATCCCCCCAATACGACTGCGAATCCTTGCGAATCCTGGAGTGCCCCCCCACCCCTGGCGGCGCCCCTTCGGAGTGCTGAATCCAGCGCCTCGCCCGAGACACCCTCACAATCTGCTCCGAAAGCAGAGGATGTTACGGTGCGAAGCAGGCAATCCGCCTGTGGCATCCCCACAATCTGGGCGAGAATCCTGGAGTGTCCCCACCCCTGGCGCCCCCTGTACGGGTGCTGAAACCAATGCCTCGCATGAGACATCCCCACGCTCTGCTCCGAAAGCAGGGGGTGTTACGGTTGGAAACAAGCACACCGCTTGAGACATCCCCACAATCCGGGCGCGAATCCTGGAGTGCCCCCACCCGTGACGCCCATCGCTAGGAGTGCTGAAACCAGCGCATCGCCTGAGACACCCCCACTACCCCACTATCCGATCCAAAAACAAAGGATGTTGGTTGGGCATGCGAACGAGCAAACCGCCTGAGACATCCTTGCAATCTGGGCGCGAATCCTGGAATGTCCCCACCCCTGGCGCCGACTCTTAAGAGTGCTGAAACTACTGCCTCGCCTGAGACATGCCCACGCTCTGCTCCGAAAGCAGAGGGTGTTGGGCATGCAAACAGGCAGACACCCTGAGACATCCTCGCAGTCTGGGCGCGAATCCTGGAGTGTCCCCACTCCTGGCGCCCCCTCCTCGGGGTGCCCACGTGCTACGCCTGCTATATCGCGGCGAGCAATAGACCACCACTGAGCACGAAAGAGTCTGAGCCTGAGTACGGAAGGAGTACAAGTGTGAGTTAGTCTGGTTGCGATTGAATCAGAGAGCGAGCCAGTCTAAGTGTGAGTGGGTCTCAGTGTGAGTGGGTCTGGGTGTACTGAATCTGAGCATGGGCGAATCTGAGTGTGAGTGAATATCATTATGACTGAGTCATATTCGGAGTTGACCTTGAATGTTTCCGAGTGTGATTGAGTCTGGGTGTGGGCGAATCTGAGTGCGAACGTGTCTGAGTAGGGCTGAGTATGGGTGGGTCTGGGTGTGAGTGAGTCACTCTAGCTGGGGAGGAAAAGCAGGCAAAGGAGGTGAGGAGGAGGAGGAGGAGGAGGGTTATTGCAAGGAGCCGTCCAAGTCGTTACTCGATGCGGGGAACCCCATACTTGCACCTCATACTCCTGTCACGCCTCGCTGAGGAAGTCTGCCTGTGAGTATCTGGGCGCGAGGGCGAATCCGCGTCGACGACGGGCGCGACGACGACACGGACGACTTCAGTGACATCAACCTCCTCCTCCTCCTCCTCCTCACCCTCCTCTGGGCATGTTTCAAGTGAGATGGGCGACACAGAAGTAAAGAGCGAGGGGGCATCGACCAATCAAAATAGAGAAGACTGCGCGTGGATCTGAACGCGAGTGTGTGCGTCTGGATGCGAGCGGGTCTGGGTATGCGAGTCTTGGTGCGGGCGCGTCTGGGCACAAGAAGACCTGAGACTGGGTGGGCCTGGGTATGGGTGGGTCTGCGTGTGATCAAGCCTGAGTGTGAGTGGGTCTGAGTATGAGCTTGACAAGTCTGAGTCTGAATACGCGTGAGTCTGAATGTAGGTAAGTGTGAGCGCAAATCAGTCTGAATGTGTGCATGTGTCTGAATATGAGTGAGTATAAAGTGGGTGAGCCTGAATGTGAGTGGCCCCACCTCAGAATATGGGTATTAACTCCACCAGCCCCCTGGGCGTAAATGGTTTAGAGAGTTTCCTCTTCCAACCCGCTTCTTCCCCTCCGGGGAGGAGCTTACCCCTCCCCCTGTACCCCCTCCTCTGGACCTGGACGGGGGAGGGGCGGCGAAGTGACAGGGCATCCAAAACGGACTCGACGAGGAAGCCCAAAGCATTGGTTTTACTATGGTTGTGGCCCCATGTTGGCCTCTTGGGGGGCAGTGCGAATTGCGACCCTCCCCTTCTTTGATCGATGTCCTCCAAGATGGCCCCAAGAAGCGCCCACGAGGCCCCAAGAGGCCCCAAGATGGCCCCAAGATGGCCCCAAGAGGCCCCCAAGAGGCCCCCAAGAGGCCCCCAGGAGGGCACCAAGAGAACCCCAAGCGGCCCCAAGAGGCCCCCCCCAAAGGCACCCAAGACGCCCAAGAGCCCCCCAGAACCGCCAAGAGACCCCCAAGATGTCCCAAGAGGCCACCAAGAAGCACCCACAAGACATCCCAAGAGGCTCCGAGAGGCATCCAAGAGACCTCTGGCCCTTTTGCTTGCCCTCCTCCTCCTGCTCCTCCTTCCTCCTCCTACTCCTTCGCTTCATCCTCCTCCTCCTCATCATCATCCTATTCATCTTCCTTCTCCCCCCTCCCTCATCCATCCATCCATCCAGCCTCCTCCTTTTCTTTCTCTTCCCTCCTTCGCACGGTTCGGCCGTCCCCCTCTTTCTGGACATCAATTCGCCTGGACATCGTTTCTGGATGGGCTGGTGGGGATACTTTTAGTTGGTCGCGGCCACGAGACGACGGCCAGGCGGCGAAAGCAAAGTCCGCGACGCGAACTAGGCGAATTAGCTAAGACAGGCGCAGGTCGGCGAGCTGGTGGGGATACTTTTTCGGTCAGCGGCCACGAAGACAGCGGTCATGTGGCGAAAGCAACGTCCGGGCCACGGGCGAGGCTAATTGGCTAAAACAGAAACGCGGCCGGCCACCTCAGACGGCAGCTGCAGGCTGGGGGGCGCAGAGCTGGCTGACGTACTGCTAGCGCTGGTGGGGATACTTTTTTTGGTTAGCGGCTCCAAGGCGACCGCCAGGGAGCGGGAGCGACGTCCGGGGCGGCGGAACGGTGCGAATTTGCGAACACGGCCGCCAGTGTCGGCGAGCCAGCTCGCATAACTACAACAGAAGCAACTGCTGTAGGACATGCAATGAAAGCAAACGCACGTGCAATAAGCAAAATGCTCTACGTTCAGTAGCGGAGAGACGCCCTGGTGGCGCCAGTCCGCGCGGCCGAAGCCGTAACGATGTCGGCACAGACGGGGCAGAAGAGGCAATAACCTACAGAGTGTTCACTCCGCGAACCACACCGTTGCCCATGGTGGGGCCGACCAGCCCGCAGCTCCGAAACCACTCACGAGTCTGAACCACGCTGATGGGGATACGCAAAGCGTCTAGAATTCATATGCTGGACCCAAAAGAAATCAGATCCACGGAAACTGCACGCGAGAAATAGCGCTATGATTATACGGGGATGGGGTTCCCCCGTCGTCATCAACATCACCACCACTGGCTCGAGCGTCAGTGTGGGCTCTCGCCCACTCCCACAACACCAGCATTACAATGGAAGCAATAGAAGGCTCGATTGTCATTGCGGGTCCCGCCCACTCCCGTAACTCCCCCCATGACGTTGGGTAGCTCGAGCGTCACAGCGGACGCACATCTACTCACGTCCCCCATAACAATGGTAAGGCCCGACCGTCACCGCGGGCACCCGCGTGGCCTCGCGAGCAAAGAGGGACATCTCTCGGTCCGCGGAAGTCTACTACGTATTTGGCAAGGCAGGACTGCTCCGGGGGCAAGACGGACCAACGAGCCCAGAGGGCCAAACGAGGACTCCAAGACGGTCCACAGGGGCCCCGAGTCGCCGTAGGGTCGCGCCAAGACGCTCAAGATGGCCTCAAGACGGCTCTAGAGGCCCCGAACTTGCGCCAAGAGAGCGCCAACAGCATCCCCAAGAAGGCCATGAAGGGCCAGCATCATGGACTTGTCGTAGGTGTTTGAAGGATGTAAACGCTCTCGCCTTTTCGGGCTTCCGACGCTCCAGCACGGCCCCCAAGGCTCCACCGATCGCCAGAAGACGGCCCAAGGGGCTCCCAAGAGTCTTCCAAACGGCCCAAGAGGGCCACAAGACGGCCCCAAGCGGGCCAACTCGAACCAATATTTCGCGCCCTCCGCTCTGTGTGTTCTCGGGCGTCCGCACCGCAAACTTCACGTCGTTGTGTTCATCGCCCCTGGCAAGGAAGACAGCCATCTCAGCTTGGAGGATGCTGGAATAGTGCGAACAGAGAGTGTTAGCAGCGTGAGTGCTTGCACGGAACCAGCCAGGGACCAGATGCCGTCGGGGCTATGTGCACTGTCAGCTATACGTCCCATCATGTTCAAAAAGGCTGCGGAAGTTCCAACTCCTAGCAGGTCTCGGAGGGTCTCGGAGGGACCGCCTGGATGAGGGGCTCGAAACAACGAAGGGCGTCCTGCGATACCTCAGCTACCGAGCGCACCTGGCCCCCAGTATCCCCGCGTCAATGAGGAGGAGGAGGAGGAGGAGGAGGAGGAGGAGGAGGAGCAGGAGGAGGAGGAGGAGGAGGAGGAGGAGGAGGAGGAAGAAGAGGCGCGCCCAGGCGGGTCCCGGCCCGAGCCGCCCGTCATACCTGGGCCCTGTCCTGTCACTGCGCCTGCTTGCGCGGGATGAGGAGACCTGGTGCCGGTGACCTTCAGGTGTCCTGGTCCCCAGGCCGCCCACGACGGTCACCGATCCTGGTGGCTGCGATGCCCCGCACAGCGGAGGTACCCGCACGCGGTGAGCAGCAGCGCGCGCCAGCGCCTGGGCCAACTCAGGGCCTGGCTGCAACGGGCCGAGGCGGTGCCGCATGAGGCTGTAGGTGTAATAGAGGGTCGTGAGGGGGACGATGGTCATGGGCAGGCCATTTTCGCCCAGCGGAACCGTGTCGTAGTCCTCCGCCGAGCTCAGGCCGAGGCGGTGCAGAGGGCACGCGCAGGCGGTGGTGCATGCTACGCGCGCACACCATCAGGCGCCACGGCACTCCAAGTAATGCGATATCTGGTCAGCGCCACCCTCGCAACTCCACCAGCACTCCACCAGCACAGCAGGCGGGGCTGCCTCACGTGCATGCGGTGAAAGGTGGGCCAGGCGCCGGCTAGGGCACGGATGGTCGCCCAACAGGTGCCAGGGGCAGCGACCGCTGGCTAGGCTGTGAGGCGCAGCCACCCTGGCGGATGTGCGGGTGGATCGCCAGGCAAGGCCAAAAGGACCTGAGGCGTCGACGGATCGTGGCGTCGAAGGCCTCTGGAAAGAGCTGTTAGGTGCGGCAGCTGCGTGCGCACGCTGCAGGCAAGGCTTGCGGGCAGCGGCCGCGGCCGCTCGCAGCTCGCCGCACGCTGCTGCGTTGGCCGCCTGCAGGGCTTGCCGCCCGCGCTGCTGGATACGCTCCCTGGGGTCTTGACCGTGGCGGTGTCGACGATCATGAGGCATTGGAGCATGGACTCGGTCCGTTCCCAGATCGGTGCGGCCCATCGGCTTGAGAGAACTACGGCGATGGACAGGACTTCCATCGCGCGCGCGCCACGCCTCCGCGAAGACCCTCCAGTCCACCAGCGTGGCGTTCGCTGCTCGCCGTGCGGCGGCCCAGGCAGCGGGCAGCAGCGGGGCCAGGGCCGGGCCGGGTGCCCAGGCGCCTACACTGATGGGGTCAGCACCCGCGAAAGACTTCGGCGGTGGCTTCAAGATGCGGTGCAGCTCGTCCAACCCACATCTGACGAGGGCCTCCAGCCATGGCAACAACTGGGCCAAGCACGCGAGGACGGATACCGTGGAGCCGCTTTACAGCACAATCAGCTCAGCCGTCGGGACAGGTACGCTCTTGAGCCCCACGGTATTCGACCTCTCGGTGTTCGACCTCTCGGTATTCGACCTCTCGGTGTTCGACCTCTCGGTATTCGACCTCTCGGTATTGAGACCCACGGTATTCGCTCTTGAGCCCCACAGTACGAAGCCACGGTATTCGACCTCTCGGTGTGATGGCGAAGCCGTGCCAGGGCGGGGCACGTGCCCGGAAAAAGCTTCGCGGACGGCGTCGAGGGCAGCCGGCAGGCCCGCCGCAGCCAGCCAGAGCGGCTCCAGGACGCCCGCCCTTCCGCGGCTGCAGTTTCAGGCAGGCGAGGCGCGCCGCGGCGCAGGAACGGGGCTCGATGCGGCCGAGGGGGCCGACGTCCCACAGAACCACCCGGCCATCGCCCGGGCATCCATTCCCTGTGCCTTTTCCGGTTTCGCGCGTGCTCTTGTCTCGCCAAATCATCAAGGATGCTCCTCAGGGGCCCTCGCCGAGGAAAAAGTACACACGTCCGAGCGATGCCAGGCCACTCCGACACCATCGGCGCAGGCGACGAGCTCGGCGTCTCGGCCGGGGCCGAGACGTGGCTCGTCGCGCGGCGGGGGGGGGGCTGGCCAGGAGGAGGAGGAACAGGAGGAGGAGGAGGAGGAACAGAGGAGGAGGAGGAGGAGGAGGAGGAGGAGGAGGAGGAGGAGGAGGGGGAGGAGGAAGAGGAACAGAAGGGAGTACTGGCAGCAGAACCAGCAAAGCAAGAGATACATGTTGGCGGCAGCAGCGCTCCTGGAATCTCTGGCGGGCTGTGGAAGATCTCCCGCGGGCTCACTCTCCAGCCAGCTCCTGGCAAGCTTAGGCCGGTGCGATGCCCATTTTTAGCCGCTTCATCAGAAGCGATGGACACTGCTGCTGCCATTGACGACACCGTGCAGTTGCCGCCGCCATGGCACAGCTCCTTGAACAGCTTGGCTCAGGAGTCATGCGGCGATGCTTGTCTCCAACTCCCATCTTCTCCTCCACGGTCCTCCTCCCGATCCTAATCCTGCTCCCGATAATCCTCTTCGTGATATCTGCTTCCCCCCCTTCTTCCTCCTCCTCCTCCTCCTCCTCCTCCTCGTCCTCGTCCTCCTTCTCCTCATCCTTCTGCTCCTCATCGTCCTCCTCCTCCTCCTTCTCATCCTCCTCCTCCTCCTCCCTCCCTCCTCCTCCTCCTCCTCCTCCTCCTCCTCCTCCTCCTCCTCCTCCTCCTCTCCTCCTCCTCCTCTCCTCCTCCTCCTCCTCCTCCTCCTCTCCTCCTCTCCTCCTCCTCCTCCTCCTCCCTCCTCCTCCTCCCTCCTGCTGCTCCTTCTCCATCTACGTTAGCCTAAGATTGAACCTCGAGGCTCGCCGTTTCCACCTCCTCCTCCTGCTCGTCCTCCTCCTCCTCCTCCTCCTCCTCCTCCTCCTCGTCCTCCTCCTCACCCTCCTCCTCCTCCTCCTCATCTTTAACTTTGACTCCTCACATCCTCTCCTCCTCACATTATTTCTCTTCATGCTTCATATGCTCCAGTGGTACTCCTCCTCCTCCTTCTCCTCCTCCTTGTCATCCTCCTCCTCATCCTCATCACCATCATCATCATCATCATCATCATCATCATCATCATCAGCAGCAGCAGCAGCAGCATAAGCATCATCAGCAGCATCATCATCACCATAACCATCACCATGACCATCACCACAATCCTCACCATCATCAGCATCACAATTATCAGCATCACAATCATCGGCACCATCAGCATCATCACATCATCAGCATCAACCTCAGCATCATCATCATCACCACCACTATCATCATCAGCACCATCACCATCAGCATCAGTACACTATAAGTATCATGATCATCATCAGCATCATAATCGTCATCATCATCATAAGCAACACCATCATCATTATCATCATCATCACCATCGTCGTCGTTACCATCATCATCAACATCATCATAGTCGTCTTTATCATCATCATCAGCATCAGCATTGTCATCGTCGTCATCGTCATCGTCATCATCATCATCGTCGTCATCGTCATCATCGTCATCATCATCTGCACAATCGTCATCGCCATCATCATCATCGTCATCATGAGCATCCTCCTCATCATCATCATCATCATCATCATCATCATCATCGTCGTCGTCGTCGTCATCGTCATCATCGTCATCAGCATCGTCATCAGCGTCATCAGCGTCAGCATCATCTTCGTCGTCATCACCGTCGTCACCATCATCGTCGTCACATTCATCGTCACTATCAACATCACCATCGTCATCGTCTGCTTCATCATCACCATCATTACCAGCAGCATCATCACCATCATCATCTTCTTAATCACCAACACAAGCATCCACATCCTTATCCTCATCCTGATCACAACGTTGTGGATGGTCATTAGCATCGTTATCATCACCAGCATCATCACCATCAGCATCATCATCTCATCATCACAATCCTCACCATCATCATCATCATAATCAGCATCAGCATCATCATCATCATCATCATGTTCGTCATCATCATTAGCACCATCATCATCACCACCACCATCACTATCACCGTCACCATCACCATCGCCATCCTCCTCCTCCTCCTTGTAAAACCTCCTCCCCTATCTCCCAGACGTCTGAATCAACGGCCTCGCCGATCGCGGGGCGACCGGTCGGAAGGAAGAGGAAGAGGACGAGGAGGATGAGGACCAGTGTAAACCCTCGAAGCACCAACGATGTTGCAATAAACCCTCCCTCCAAGTTCCCTCTTCATGGGGCCCTAAAAGAAGTGAGTGTCATTGCGGGAACTGCCCCATTGGAAAACGACCGTCCGAGAACAACCGTGCCGAAACACCAGTCCTGGTGCTTCAGCGTTGCGAATCAACGTAACTGTTGCGTCCTGTCAATCCTAAATAGCGCCAAAACACAATTCCTGGGATTTCCATGCCGCGAATCTAAGTGACTGTTGCGCCCTGACAATCGTAAATCGTGCCAGAACGCCATGCCTGGGACGTCGACCATGCGAATCTCTCAAATGTGTGAAACGTTCAAAGCGAATGCTCCCAGCGCTCAGGCGAAAGCCACCACATCACTTTGAAAAAAAAACGCCCTTCATCCTCGAAACGGCTGCAAACTTTCAAGGCGACTGTACGCGGTGCTACGGCGAGAGCCGCACTTTGAAAATTGTCCGCCCTCCATCCGTGAAGTTCCTGCAAGCTTTTGGACAAATGTGCGCGGCGCTGAATCGATAACCACATGTTGAAAACCACCCGCCCTCCATCCGTGAGGAGGAGGAGGAGGAGGAGGAGGAGTCGAACGAATGTGCGCGGCGCTCAGGCGAGAACCGCACTTTGAAAACCACCCGCCCTCCACCCGGGGAACTGCTGCACATATCAAGCTTCAGGATCGTAAATGGCGAAGGCGTCTCGGGGCAACGCCCAGCCTGCCCTACCGGCACGTCTGGTGCGACGGGGAGAAGTCCTGTGTCTATAAGGATAAGGGATCGAGGAGGGGAGGAGTGGGAGGGAGGGAAGGAGGGCGACATATCGAGGGTCGAGGTTTTGGACTGGGCTTCTGGGGGGCCCTTGTCGCCATGGCTCGATCCACCTCGGAGCGCTTGTCAGTACTCGCCCTGGGAGAGATGCGTGGGGTAGGCGGAGCGTGTTTTTTTTTTTCACGCCGTCGAAGTTCTGAAAAGGTGCACACATCGAAAGAAGATTGAAGAGCGCCGCAGATCTGACTGACGCGTAACGCCATGACAAGGAGGCGTTGAAAAATGCGATTCCGCCGACAATGGCGTGGGCCTGCCATCACTCTGCTGATGCATGACCGAATATGGCAACCTCCTCCCTAGGAGCACTGACCTCCTCCTTTCCCTGCCGGGCAGCATGCAGAGAGGCAGAGGGGTCAGCCCCTGAAGGCCCTGCTCAGTTCGCCCCACTCGCCGCCAGTGGGCCGAAACTGCGACTCCATGTCGACGCTGATCCCGAAGCCCCCCGCTGGTCTGAGGCGGAGGGTGCCGTGCGGCTCCAGATCGGCGGTCAGCCACTCGCCGTCCTGCGTCAGCTCGACCGAGAAGTCGCCGATGTCGCCCTTCTCCTTGAACGTGCGAACGTCCCCGTTGCGGACAATGGTGTACTGGCCACCGGGGTAGATCCACGTGCCCACGTAGGGGTCGTTGAGCCTCTCGTAGACCTCTGGGCATCGGCGCAGCACCAGCGGCTCCGTGTTGTCAAATGTGGTCAGGACCGATTCGTCGCCGGCTGCAACCTTCGCAAGCGCCGCGACCTGCTTGCCGAGATTCCCCACGCCGCCGTTGGACGGAATCTCAGCCGCGATGCACGACTCGGTGCAGAGCTGATAGACCTCTCCGGACCTGTCGTCTAAGTGCCAGCAAGCACCGCTGCAGGAGTCCTCGCACGCGGATATATCAACGTAGTGCCCTGCCGAGAAAGCCGCCTCCATGAGCCTCGTCTTCGGAGCCACGACGACCTTCCGGGCAGGATAGGGAAAGACGACCGTGATCGGGCCGCGGGCCTGCCTGCCAAACTTTACGCGCACGGTCCCGCCCTCCTCGACCTGCTGGATGATGTCGACTACCTCTTCCTGCGTCCTCACCTTCTGCCCGTTCACTGTCACAATGCGGTCGCCAACCTGGATGAAGTTCAGCAGCCCGTCGGCGTTGCCGAAACCCTGCGCCTCCGCGTCCTCCCTGTTGTCGGCCGTCGTCCACGTGTTCTTCTCGTTGTGGTCCCAAGCGCTGCCCCCCTCGATGACCTCGCTGACGCCGCACAGGTTGTTGCCCGGGGCCGTGTCAAGCCGCAGCCCCAACGGCAGGCCGAGCTCCAGCTCGTACCACACCTCGCTGCCGACGCGCTTGCCCCCCCGGGGGTTCGGGTTGGCCTTGATCTCCTCCATCTCCTGCTGGAACCCCAGCAAGTCTTCCAGGTCGCGCTTGGCCTGCTCCTGCTCCTGTGTCTTCGCCGACCGCCGCGCCAGCTCGCCCCTAGAAGCCTCCCAGATGGGGTCCGACCCCCATCTGCTCCGACCCCGTCTGGGAGGCCTAGGGATTCCTCCTTCCTTGCCCCAGCTGAGGGCCGCCAGCGAGGTTCTCGGGCCATACCTCGGCACCCTGGCGGCCGTTCGGGACGATCTGGGCACCCCCAGAACGCTCTCGGCGAGGCGCGGCTGCTGGAGAGCGTCCCGAGGCTGGAAGACCGCCAGGAGCCGGTGAGAACGCCCCAGGGACCCTCGAGCCTCGAGGCCTCTCTCGGCTACGCGCCACAGTGACCCTATAGGCAAGAGTGACCCTTGATGCGCGGACCACGGGGGCGCAAGGCGGCCACGCGCAATCCGCTGCCATCGCATCGCGCTCGGCGATCGGAATGACACCGATGAGCCCGCACCAAAGAGCGACCCGGCGAAGGGTCACCCTTACCCTGAGATCCGACGTTGAAAACAAGACACGCGACACCGCCAAGCACCACGCCCGGAGCCCCGGACCCCACCTTCCCGCGCCCCTCCCCGAGCCGCATCGGCCCGAGAGGGCCCTGCCGCGCCAGGGACCTCTCCGGGGGCTCGGCGTCGCCGACTCCCCCCCTCTCGCGACCCCCCCCCCGAGTGGGAGGGCCTGGAGCCCCCGCCCGCCCCGCGCTGCCGCCCCGCCGGCGGCGCGGCCCAGCCCAGCGCGCGCGGGCCGCCCCGCCAGGCCCAGGCGGCGCAGGCGGCCAGCAGGGCCGCGGGCGCGGCGGCGCGCCGCCGGGGGCGCGGGGCGGCCGCCATGGCGGCTGCGGGCGGCCGTCGTGCGGCCGCGGGGGGGCCTCTCGCCGGAGCCTCGCGCCCGGCCGGCGGCGCGGCGCCTATGCACGTCGAGAGCCCAGGTCGGGCGCGGCGAGCCCGGGTCGAGTCCGGGATGGCTCCTCGTCTCGAGTCCGCGTCGAGTCCGCGTCGAGCCCGCGCCGCGTCGAGCCCGCGTGGGAGTGCCAGAAGGGAAGGCTGCCATCTGCAGGGCAGGAGAGGTCCCCCGAAGATGCAAGGCAATGGCTGGTGGGAGGAGCCCTGACTCCGTGTCTGCCGTACTTCGGCTGATTTCCCAGCTTGCAGTTCGGTGCTCGAGGCTTTCGGGCGTGTTCGTTGGTCTTGGCGTCTTTCCAGCCTCGACGTGCCTTCCATCGGCTGCGCCTCGCCGAGGGCCTTCTGGGCGTGCCCCGATTGTCCCGAACGGTCGCCCAGAGACCCGAGCTAGGCCCTGACTCTGGGTCCGCCGAACTTTGGTTGACTATCCGACTTCAAGCTGTATCGGAAATGCGCCCCGAACGACAGGAAAAAGTAGGGCGGAAATTGCCGCCTCGGAAAAGTAGGGGCGGCTGTCTCCGCAGATGTGCGGCGGGAGCAGCGACGGTAAAGTGGGGCGGAAATCGACGTCAACGGAGCTTGAAAAGTTGGGCGGGAACTTCCGCCCTACAGAATAAAGCGGGTCCAGGGTCAGGGAAGGGGGGGGGGACACAACCACGGGACGCGGCTCACGAGAGCCGTGGTCCGAAGGCCAGCTGGTCTGCCTGCAGGGAGAGACGAGCATGCATGTCCGCCGCCGTGCCGTGTGCACGTTGGGGCGTGTTAGAATGCTCCCCTGTTGTCTAGTAAGGTCTCTTTCTTTGGTGATCCCACAAATGAGCCGCAAGCGCCCGGGATAAATCTCCCCCCCAAGGAGGGTTGCTTTTCGGCGCATGTTTGGCCTCATGACGGCGCAAAGACAACTACGTAAGAGGATTCAAATTGGCCTCAAGATGCCTCCAGGCTGATCCTAGATGCCTCGAAGACAAATACTTGTTGCCCCAAGACGGCCCAAGATGCCCCCGATACATCCCGAAAGCGCTCCAAGAGGCTCTCCACGCGGGCCTGAAAAGGCCAAAGTAATTGATTTCCCGTCGGTTTTCCAATGCTAATCGCCTTCCTCGTCTGGCCTCCGTCTGCTCCGCTCCCCTTTCTCCTTTTAACCCTCTCAGGGTCTGGGGGGGGTGGGGGGCTGGCGGCGGAAGCGGTATTCGCATCACCCGGCCCACCCCCTGCGTGCGCAAGAACTGCATGCCGCCCATTCCGATGTTCGACAGCGACCCCTCCCCTCCTCCATGCTCCCCATCTCCCGCGTCTCCATCCTCTCTCTCTCTCCTCCTCCTCCGTCGTCCTTCCTCCGCCCTCCCCCTCCTCCTGCTGCACCCCTTCTTCTTGTGAGCAACTCCTCCTCGTTGGGCCACAAGCCATGCCGTTACGGCGGGCCGGGCATTTCACTTGAGACCTCCCTGCCGCTGATGGCCCCGAAGTAAAAAAGTTCCCAACAGCTCCACGGATGAGGGGCGGGTCGTTTTCACAATGCAGCTCGCGCGTTGGCGACGCGCACGTTCGTCTTTGAGAAGCCAACAGATGCGCAGATGTAGGGCGGAACGTTTTCAATTGCGGTTCTCGCGAGAGTGCCGCAACTAGCAAGATGGAGGGCAGGTCGTTTTCAAAATGAGGATCTTGCCTCGGCGACGCGCGCTCTCGTCTTGAGAAATAAAGCCCTTTCGGCAGAAGACCCTAAACAGCTTTCCGCAGTTACTACAGTCGGGGCGTTGACCCAAGGAACCCTAAATAAGGAACGAGGCCCCTTTTTTCCATAAATTAACCTTCGATTTCCTGTCGAAAACATCAGAAAAACCTGAGGCAAGCTGTGAAACACTTAAGGAGCGCGGAGCCCCTCCCCAACGAACAGGGTTCCTTCTTCAGGGCCCCGACTGTACTATGGGGGCCACGACGGGGGGTCACAAGGGGGGGGCCACGATGGGGGGATCGGGATTCCTTAGAGGAGAGCACGCGTTCTGCCGTCACTGGCAAGACCGCCCCCTCCGTTTCGAACCTGGGGGGGGGGGCAGAGGGAGGGGAGAGCACCCCCCCCTCCCCCAGGTCGAGCCAGGAAGGTGATGGTGATGATGAAGATGAAGATGATGATGAGGATGAGGATGAAGATGAAGATGATGATGCTGATGATGATGCTCATGATGATGTTGCTGATTATGATGCTGCTGATGATGATTATGATGTTGATGACGCTGGCGAGGCTAATGAAGAAGAAGAAATAGTTACCATGATCGTAGTGATGATAGTGATAATGTTGTTGGTGATGGTGATGGTGATGAAGCCCCATAAATCAATGAAAGTTTCATTTAGTGTCCCACCCAACCGACTGGCGTCTTCGGTGGTTGTGATATATATATATATAATACGTGCATGCGAATAAATAGTCCCCCAACTTTGTCCCATCACAGCGTGAAGGTTGCATTGAATGTCTCGCCCGCCCGCCCGACTAAGTGCCCCACTACCGAGTGATCAGTACATTCCATGTCCCGCCCGCTCGAACGGCATCGCTGGTGGTTGTGATAGATTATCCCCCAATCTTGTCCAATCACCGAGAAAGGGTTGCAGATCCTCCGGATGTTAGACAGCTGCACGAGGTGGAATGAGGCGCATGTTCAAAACTGGGCTCTCCCCTGGAACTGCCTAGCGCCTTCTAGCAGGACGTGCACACCTGTGCAGCACTAGAACACAAAAAGAAGAACACAAAAACACAAACACACACACACACACGTGGGAAAAAGAAAAAGAAAAACACACGTGTGTTGTTCTTTTTCTTTTTCCCACGTGTGTATTTCTTTGTCTTTGTCCCACGTGTGTTTTTCATTTTCTTTTTCCCACAGGAGGCAGTTCCTTTCCAACGCGTTGCTCTCGCTGGACCTGTCCTGAGAAGGTGTGATCCTCGCTCGTCGCGTTCCGCCGAGCTATGAGGATACCAAGGGAGCTCCTTCTCTCCACGGGACTCCCGCCCGAACGAAAGTGTCCACGGGGCGCTCGTCTCTCGAGGAGAAGATATTCGGCAGCGGAAAACACCTCAAGGGACCTCGCAGGGGGGGCCTGGGGCCAGAGGGTGAGCTGCAGCATGGTCGATGCACTCTGGGTTTACTCTGGTCCTCCTCCTCGTGCTCCTGTCTCCTCCCTCCTTCTCCTGAAGCTTCCAGCAGCTACGCCGATGGAGGGCTGCCCGTTCTCACGATGTGGTTCTCGCATCAGCGACGCGCGCACTAACCACAAAACGTCCAACAATTTCAGACATAGATGGCGGCCCATTTTCAAGATGGGACTCCCACCAAAGCAACGACACTCGTCTTGAAAACCACATCTACAACGATGGAGGGCGTGTCCTTTTCAAAACGGGGCTCCCGCTTGAGAGCTTCTCCAGACGTGTAGCTATGTGTGAAACATATGACACAGATGCGCGGAAGGAGGACGGCTCTGTTAAACTTTGGGCTGTCCCTTGAGACTCCATGATGCATTATGGCCACGATAAGCGTGTGCAACATTTCGACTGGTGGAGGGCGATTATTTTTCAATCCAAGGCTCTCGCTAAACTCTTCCATAGACTTCATAACTCTGCCTCTTCGCATTCCTTATCGCTGCAACGATGCAGAGGCAGCTCCTCTTCAAACCAGGGTTCTCGCTTCAATGGCAGGCCCCTGTGGCTCTCGTCTTACAAGGGAATGCTTCATTTCTTCCCGAAAGGCCTATAAGGACAAATGATGGGGGGACTTGGGCGATGACGCATCCTCTGTTTACTCTGGTCCTCCTCCTCTCTCCCTCCCTCCTCCTTCCTCCTCGGCCTCCTCCTCCCTTCTTCTCCTCCTCCTTTGTGCTCCTCCGTCTCCCTCCTCCTCCAATGCACTCCTCCTCATCCTCTCTCTTCCCAGCCGAGAACGCGGGAATCCTCTCGCGATATGCACGCCGGGCACGAGGCAAGCCGCGCGAGGTGTCGGGGCCTCTTGGCCTCCGCCTGACCAGGGACGGGGAGGAGGAGGACGAGGAAGTCGAAGAGGAGGAGAACCACTCACTGCCAGGGAGGAGGACAAGGAAGAGGAGGAACATCTGAGTAAACCCAGAACGCATCAACAATGCTGCAACACCACCCTCCAGTCCCAAGTCCCCTCCCAACAAGTCCCTACAAGAGTTAATGTTCACCGCAGGGTCGCCCCCTTGAACGACGAGCACCCCCTGGGCCTGCCATTCATGCGGGGGGGGGGCGTGTTGAAAAGGAACTACCTTGCATCGCTCTAGCGGGTAAGCGATGACCATAAGCTTCAACAGCCCGTCCAATGAGAGCTCCGTTTTGAAAAGCAGCCGCCCCCCATCCGTAAGACGAGCGCACAAGTTTACAAGTCTTGATGATACATTCGTGCGAGCCTGAAGCGAGAGCCACAATCCGCCGGCCCCCTTGTGGGGCCACCAGGCTGTAGGACCGTGATTCGCAGTTTCCTGTACCAGTTGTAGTTTCTAGTTTCCAGTGTTACAGTTCTGCTTCTTGCTGGTTACTGTAACTAGTTGACTTCTTGCTGATTGCTGTAACTAGTTGATTGACCGCGCGAGGGGGGGGGAGGCCCAAACAGGATTTTTTAGCAGCCCCTGGGCGCGTTGTCTGAATTGCTGGGGGGGCTCTAAATCGACACCCCTCACGCAGATCCGCGGGGTCAGGGTCCAAAAACACAGGGGATTTGCCACATTTCTGAAATTCAGTGCCACCCCTCACGTAGATCCGCGGGGTCAGGGTCCAAAAACACATGGGATTTGCCACATTTCTGAAATTCGGTGCCACCCCTCACGCAGATCCGCGGGGTCAGGGTCCAAAAACACATGGGATTTGCCACATTTCTGAAATTCGGTGCCACCCCTCACGCAGATCCGCGGGGTCAGGGTCCAAAAACACAGGGGATTTGCCACATTTCTGAAATTCGGTGCCACCCCTCACGCAGATCCGCGGGGTCAGGGTCCAAAAACACATGGGATTTGCCACATTTCTGAAATTCGGTGCCACCCCTCACGCAGATCCGCGGGGTCAGGGTCCAAAAACACAGGGGATTTGCCACATTTCTGAAATTCGAACCCATCACGCACATCCATCGCAAGGCGTGGTAACCCAAACTGCGAGAACTCCCTCGGCCCTTTCATCGCAAGGTGTGGTAACCAAGCCCTTAAACCATACACGTCTTACCAATCGCCAGGTGTGGTAACCCCTCTTGTGATCAGTTGGTTTTGCTGATTGCGACTCGGCTTCGCATGAAGTTTCGATACTGCTTCACGACAGCGCCAAGGCCTCATGACTTAGCTCTTCCATGGCCCATTCTCCGAGAGAGGGGGCCGGCGGCAGGGGGCGAAACCCTTACGGATTTTAAAAAAGGGAGCCGCCTCCCATCCATGCAGTTGCTACAGATGGTCAACCTTCCCGTCGCTGAGTACACGGGAATATCAAGAGAAAGAGCCGCAATTTTGAACAAGGACCGCCCTACAGCCGTGTAGGTGATGCAAACGTTTGACACGAATGTGCGCGGCGCTCAGGCGAGTTTTTTTCTGAAAAGGAGCCGCCGTCGATCAGAATGGGCGCGGCGTTGCGGCGAGTGCCCCATTTTGAAACATGCCCCTCTCCATCCAGGCAGCTGCTGCAAGCTTGTTAAACAGAATTTGAATGGCGTTAAGGCAATAATCCCATGTTTAGAATGAGCCGCCCTCCATCCGAATGTGCGCGGCGTTACATCTAGAGCCTTCTTTTGAAAATGACCTCTCCCCCCCCCACAAACGCGACATTGTTGTAAACTGTCGCGATGAATGTGCGCGGCGCTAGGGCACTATTCGCATTTTGGAAATGACCCCCTCCTCCATTTTCTTTTCCCTATACTCCACGATTGGGTTCTTGTTCGTGCTTGGGCGCCTCTGGACCTTCTTCCTCCCTCTCCTTTTTCTCCTCCTTTTCCGCTTCTTCACTCTCACATCTCTTATACACTCAGACTCATATCACCCAAACCCATCACGGGGTCCATCAAAGACCCGCTCTTCCTCACAGACTCCATCACAGACTCACTCATCGCACACTCACTTTCCGCACGCAGACTTAACCACATAACTTTCTCACTCGGATTCACTCAGAATTACCCATATTCAGGCGGACTGAGTGAGACCCAGTCAGGGGACCAGCCTCGGATGCGCTCTTACTCGCACACATTGGGACTCGGTCGCTCCAACAAGCTCTTATTCACTCAGCCTCACTCATACTTCTCTGGTGGCCCAGTTATCACCGCGATAAGGCAGGCGTGGCACCCAGGCACCCCAAGGGGGAGCCGCCAGGGGGGATTCAACTCGCTTGTTCGCGCCCAAGTTGTGGGGATGTCTCAGGCGGTTTGCCTGTTTCTCCCCTCCGGACTTGTCTCTTGTAGTGGTCGCTTTCCCACCGCGATAAAGCAGGCGCGGCATTTAGGCACCTCTCGATACGGGAACCGCCTGGGGTGATGACACTCGACCGTTCGCGCCCAGGCGATGGGGATGTCTCAAGCGGTTTGCCTGTTTCTGCCCTCCGGATTTGTCTCCTTTGGTGGCCCACTGCTCACCGCAATTAACAGGCGCGGCATTTAGGCACGTAAATGGGGGAGCCGCGAGGGGCGATTACATTCGAAAATTCGCGCCCAGGCTGTGGGGATGTATCAGGCGGTGGGCTTGCTTCTGCCTCCCAGCCCTGTTTCTTCTCGCGGTCCATTGCTCGCTGCGATAGAACAGGCGTTGCACTTAAGCACCCCAGGCGGGAGTCGCCAGGGGTGAGTTCACTCGCCCGGCCGCGCCCAATTTGGGCCCTTTTCTGCCCCCGGGACCTGTCTCTTTTGGTAGCTCATTGCTCACCGCGATACATCAGGTGCGGCATGTAGACACCCCAATGGGCAGCCGCCCGAGGTGATGGCACTCGACCGTTCGCGCCCAGATTGCGGGGATGTCTCCGGCGGTTTGTCTGTTTCTGCCCCCAAACTTGTCTCCTTTAGTTGTCCACGGTTCACCGCGATAAAGCAGGCGTAGCGTTGAGGCACCTCAAGGGGTAACCGCCAGGGGCGAATCCATCCGAAAGTTCGCGCCCAGGTTGTTGGGATTTCTCCGGCGGTTTGCCCGTTTCTGCCCCCCAGACTTCTCTTTGGACTTGTGCGCTGCTCAGTCAGTCCCTCGCCACCTCCTCCTCCTCCTTCTCCTCCTCCTCCGTCCCGCACTCAGACGCACACTCAATATGTACATCGTCCTCAGTCAAGCCTGCCCATCGCAATCAGACTCGCCCATCACAGTCAGACTCATCCATACTGAAACTCACCCATACTCAGACCCGCTCACACGTAGACTCACTCATAATCATACTAACGCCAACTCAGGAGTACTAACACACAAATTACCTCGTTCGCGAACTCAGTCATGTCTGGGCTCGCCCGCCTTCAGACTCGCTCGCACTCGTACTACATCGTCCTCAGACTTATCCAGAGTCAGGTTCGTTTTCGCCACACTCACACTCAGACTCGTTCGCACACAGATTCGCTCGCACACAACCCACTCTCACTCAGACTCGCTCGCGCTCAGACTTACTCCCAGATTCGCTCGCACTCCAAATCGCGCACACCCAGATCAATCACACTCAGATTCGCTCGCACTAAGGCTCACACGCAGGTGGCTACCATGATACAGCCAGCGTGGCACCTGTGCGCCCCAAGTGCCAGCAGGCGCAGCAAGCAGCACGCCAAAGAGCGGACGTAGCAACGCCATGCGCGCCTGCCCGAATTGCCGCAGTGAGAACGGCAAGAGCAATTCCCCCTCGCTCTTCCACTTATATTTCCTTCGTCTCTCCTGAAAGATGTCCAGGGGAGGACGTCACTGAAGTCGTCGCTGTCGTCGTCGTTGTCGCGCGTGTCGTCTACAAGGACTCGATCTCACACCCACATACTCACAGACAGAGCTCCTCAGCGAGACGCGACAGGAGTTATTGGAGGCACATATGGGGATCCTGTCGAGTATATGGGTTGCACGTTTTCGTAAAGAATGTGCGCAGGGCTGGGGTGATATTCTTATTTTGAAAATCTACCCCCCTTATCCGGGTAAATGCTGCAAGCTTTTCGAAGTTTGTGCGCGGCGCTAGGGCGAGAGCTTCATTTTGAAAATGGCCCCCCTCCTCCATGCTTTTATAAGTTGCAATCTTTTGATGCGAATGTGCGCTGGCGCTGGGGTGAAAGCCCCATGTTGAAAAGTGCCCACCACCCATCCTCGTAGCAGCTGCAAGCTTTCAAGACGAGCACGTGCGGCGCTGAGACGAGAGCACAATTCTGAAATCGACTCTCCATCAATCCCCTGTAACTGCTGCCCACGTAAATCAAACTAAGATACGCGGCGCTGAGGGGATAACTCGTTGTTGTACATGACCACCCCTCCGTCCGTGTAACTGCTGCGAGGTTTTACAAGCAGTGCGCACTAGTGTAAGGGCTCGGTTTAAAACGGGCCCCCTCCACCAGCCAATGTAACTGTTGGAAATTGCAGTGAATTCGTGCTGCGCCAAGGCGAGAGCCCCATCTTGAAAACAACACCCCCTCCAACACAGTAGCTGCTGCAAGACTTAAGCTCAAGGATCGCAGAGGCTGACAAAATCTCAGGCGAAGCGCACGGCCCGCCCTACCGATACGTTCTGGAATGCGACACAGAGGAGTCTTCAACAAGGCCAAGGGACGACGCAGAAGGAGGAGCAGGAGAGGAGGGAATAGGAGGGAGGAGGAACGAGAGAAGAGGTGCCCGCTGTTCTCGGGCTCTGGGACCCGCAGGCGACGACCCGCGACGAAGAGCTTGTCCCAGGAATGGTGTCCAGGGCTCCAGGGCTCACGCCTTGAACAAAAACACGATATCAAAGTCTGCAGAGACGAGGCAAGCCCCCCGCCTTTTTAGAAGACCAACCCCTCGCACCCGTGATCCTCGTCGTCCGATTATCGGGACATAACT